TGGTAACCATTGTAATAGGCAGTCATTTTAATTGCTAAGACTTTGGGTTTTTTCTAAAATGCTTTGTACTGTAAATTCCTTTTTGGAAGTCTAGCTTGTTTGAGTTTCTTTTTGGTGAAAATGAAGGTTAAATATACTTTCCTGAAGAGTGAAGGTTGACTGGGAATTGGGAGCAGGGCCAGTGTTCCATCAAGGATTGATAAACCTTTCTGGAGAAGCAGTTTGAAGGGAAAGGTGAATCCACTCTAGAAGATGCTTATTGGGGAGAAATGTTTGAGGCCTCGATGGTTCATGACTTAAAAGCCAAGTGCCAGTTCTCATACTCCTGTTTTTATGGTAGTTGCTTATGACAGCTGAATTCTCACTTTCTCATAAACACAATGCAAAATGTAATGTTTTTATTTATTTTACCATAGGAGGGCAGAGGCTCAGGAGCTGCCACCGAACCAGGGCATTTGGCAATAGATGGCTGGCTACCTGATGCTGTGATGTGTGTGAGTATAAATGGATGAGAAATCTGAGTTATTTTGGCTGGAGTGCAAGGTCATGTTTGTATATTCTGAGTGTCCAGGATCACCTGTGCTGGGCAATTCCTGATGCTGTGCAACTGTGGTCACTGCTCAGCAGACAACTGCAACTGTTCTAAGGTTGTTCTCCTGAAAAGCAGTTGATCATCTTGTTTACACTGGTTAAACCGCTTGCAGATGGTCTGCCTGGGAATCAGGGATAATGTTAGTGTGCATTCCAGATTCTGAGAGGTCACAAAGGTGAATGGTACCCCGGTGAGGAAGGTGCCATGTCCTTGTTTTTGGGGACCTGTTGTTTCACATCTTCACCTGCCATTTCTGAATTACTGTGCATTGAATTCCGTGATGGTGTCTGGTGTATTTAGCTCTGTTTTTAAAGGACTTATTCTCCCCTCAAATCCAGAGCCAGAGATTCTGTAATAAATGAAGACCCAAACTTAGTTTCTCTCATCATAGGAAAGGCTTTGCAATTTGGTACCAAGAACACCAACTGTTCTGAGTAAACATTTTAAAGAGCTTACTGAGTGTGGCTGAGTGTGAATATTTGCTGGAGCTTTTTCTGTAGTAGCATCAGTAATAATAATAAAAAAACTGAAGCAAGTTACTATTTAACCTTCTTGGCCTACCTGAAAAGGAGTACAATTTACATTAAACAACATTCTGTCTTTCTACTAGAGAATGAAATTGGAATCTTTTGTTTAAAACTTACTAAGAGGAAGCTGGAGGTCAGAGTAAAGTTTGAGTAATAACTGCTCCTTTATGGAAAACTTAGGGAAAACTGCCCTTGGAGAGCCCCAGACAGGAGAGACAGGAGTGTTTGCCTGGCAAAAAGTTGATGAGAAGAGGTGAACATACATCACAGAAAGTTGGCTCAGCAGCACAACCTAGGAGATGGGATTTACATGGGTGTGAAAACTTAGCAGAATAAAGTGGACTGTAAATGATCAGAACAGGCACTTTGTTCCTGCTCTACGCAAACACGAAGCCTGGAGGAGAAATTAGTGCCAGACTTTGCTCTTGTGGTGCAGAATTTACTTGTTGTGCCTCCTCAGACCTCCCCAGAACTGTTACCCCAGATGTGCAGGTTGCTGGGAAGGTTGGCAAATGGAAGTTCAGACCTGGTAAATGCTGAGCAGGAACAGCTCCCTGGAGGCTGCGAGTCTTGGCAACCCTGGGCAGGGATGAGCTCCCACCATCTGGGAGGCACAGGGGAGGCCTGGCCTCAACTCCACTCTCATCAACCTCACGGGTTTGTTCCAACTGTAGGGCAAGAATTGCACTTGAGAGCACAGTTTCACCTGAGGGATAGTCTGATTTGGCTGAATACTGAATAACTCGTGCCAGGAGGTGAGTTCTGATCATTTATGAAACAGTCTTGAGGAAAATAATAGAGACAGACAGGGAGGAACCAGGATCTGACAGGAGTCACTCAGCACAGGACATCTAAATTAGTACCAGCCTCACATGGCCATTCAACACCTTTATTATGTGCAGGGAATATAAAGTTGGGAAGCATGCAAGGCCGTCACAGAACTACATTTCCTGATGTTTTGGGTGGGGGAGGGAACAATCCCCCTGTTGACAGCTTTAAAGTATCAAGCAATTGGCAGATACATTTAGCAGGGGTGGCACAGCAACGTGGTGATGAATGCCAACAGGATTAAAATATAGGAATAAAACCCAGGAATCCATACTCTGTGGAATGGGCTGTAGATTTGGATTTGGTTTTGGTTTTGACAGCCATGCTTGGGAAACAGCAACAAAAACTAACCACGCAATCCAAAATGCCTAAACAAACAAAGAAAAACACCCCACAAAGCACAGCATAGGAAAAACAGGTGATAAACCCAAAGGAAATATCTTCCACATGCAGAAAACACAGTATGGGAGGATGCTGGGACTGATCCTTTTAGTCCCAGTGAACCTATAATCCAAATGCTGCTGAATTCAGTGTGTTATCACCCAGAATTTTGGGAATGCAGAGTACCTGGGAAAGCTCCCTAAAGGGCAAATCACCTGTACCTCCCAGTGTAGCAATCTGCAGTGGAGTTGGGCAGGTATATTCTACTCGAGTGCTTTTCTTTCTTCAGTTTTTGAACCACGAGCATTCACAGCAGTGTAGGAGAAAAGAGAAGGAGGGGTCAGGGGCTGTGCTAAGGAATACCCCAAATATTCTGAAAGGCCTGTTGGAGTCTGTGCAGTGCCAGGATGAGCTGCTGGCTGTGCTGGCTGCTCTCCCTGCTTCCCCTGCTCCACAGGGTGAGGAGAGGGAGTCACCAGGCCCAGGGCAGCCCGTGTGCTGACTGGGGTTTTTGGGCAGTCTGCTTCCAGCTCTGACCACATTCCAGGAAGTGAGGACAATAGAATAAACTAACAGTGATTTAACAGGTTTTTTTTAGGCTCTCTTTATCTCCCTATTGATAAGTTAAAAAAAAAAAAATAAATATGGCTGCTTCAGCAGGAATTAACCCACTTGAAAAATGAATGTTGTTTCCACAGTGACATTTGTTCAAGCTGGCCTTCAGATGTATCATAGTACAGCAACTTTTGTTTTCCTCAGACTCCCCAAGATATATTCCTTTTTCTACTATTGGATGTTCTGATAACTTAAAATCTGCTATTTAAAATAAAACTTGAATTTTGAAATGTGCTGTTCTACTCTCTGAGTTACTCTGGTAGTACGTGCAAATGAATTGTTTTGTTCCTTCCCTTGATGTAAAACGTTAAGAGAGCAGTTCCTTCACCTCCCTCCTTCCCAGTGTGATTAACGCTTCAGTGAGTAGATAGACCCTCCTGATAAACTCCAGGGAAATAAATTTCTAGTTCCCCATGTTGGGTTTCCAGCTTGGAAACAAAAACTGGGAGTCCTTTTTGTGTTTGGTTGGGTTTTTTAAGCAACAATTCTGTTCTAGAACTGCGTTTGAAAAGAGAAATTTCCAAGCAGTTTCCCAGCTGTTTAAATCACCATGATGGTAAATTGTACAGCATGTACTGAGTTGGGAGGTTTATTTGGGTGCCTTTGGGAGGTGGAACTGGGATGGGCCCTTCACTGTCTGCTGCATCATCTGGCTTTGTTGTCTTGGAGATGTGCTGAGTTCAGGCACTCAGGTTTTGGTGCAAGTCCAGTGTCAGCCTTAACTGATGATGGTTTGAGGAGAGGAGAAGATGCTTCCAGGTAGTGCTTGGGATCTTGAAAGAGGTTCTGATGTCATTGTTAACAAAGGACTGAAAATGAAGAAAGATGTGAGGTGCCACTGACTGAAACACTTCACAGCTGCATTTGAAAAAAATTCTAGAAATGTAAGATATATTCAAGTGTGGAAAAGCAGACTGCATTTACTCTGACCTGCAGTAAATCTGTTACCCTGCACTTTGTAGTTGTGTGTTGGCATACAGCTGATGTTACTAAAAAGTCCTCTGAAAGGGGAGAAAAAATCACTTTTTTAACCAACCAAGACAAGAAAAACATCCTGTGATGAATTTGTTCTATCAGAAATGTTCTTGCCAGTTTTGGTTGGTGATTGTTTGCCAGAATTCTTTTGTTGCTGTAGGTTTTGCTCAGCTGAAAGGCATTCTCTGCTGGGTAGCTGTGGGCATGGGCAACTTTAAAGTGATCTTTCTAAATTGATCCAGAAAGCAGTTTCCAATCTGGAGAGCTGTTGTGGATCATCTGAATTTTAAGTTGTGGTAAGAGATTGCTGCAGGAGATCCGGAAGTGAGATCAGAACCTGCCATAAGTGCAGTCTGGAACATAAACCTTTGTGAGCAGCAGGATCTGGGCCTGGAGAAGTGTTTCAAGGTACTCAGGAGGTGGGGTTTAATTTACAGCACTGTGAGGTCTGGAATTGCTAAACTGCAGTTTATGGCGCTGTGCAATGTTTGCCCATTCTCCTGATTATTAAACCAAGATGCTATAATAGCTTTTGTTTAGAGTGAGAACTGAAAATGCTAAGGGGGGAAAAATAAATAATAATAATAATAATAATAATAAAAAAAAGGACATCAGAGTCTTGCAAAACAAAGCCTGAAAACATCCAAAGAAGAAAACTCATCTCCTCAGAACAACCAAAGCCTTGAAACAGCGTTGGTTGTGTTTTAAACACAAAGCACAACTCCAGTTGTGTTTTTTGCAGTCAGACAGTTCCCTGCAGTCCCACTGGCAGAAGGGGAATAGGACAGAGCTGTGCTGCCTGTTCCTCACTGACCAGGCAGTTTCAAAGTACTCACCTGCAAAAGCTCAGAGTTCATTCCTTATGGGCTTTTCTCTGGGTGTAATTTGGAAGCCTGGGCTGGATTTTGTTTTCTTGAACACGAAGCTGTTGGTTTTTGGCAGTGCACATTCTGACTCTCAAAGAGGAGACTTACAACTTCCTGAGTTGCTTCCTTTCCAGTGTGTTGACACAGAAGGTACTTGAAAGTGGAAATGAGTGGACTGGGAATAAGAAAGTAACTTGTTTGTATCTTGTGTTACAGAGCGGGTTACTGGAAGCCTCCCACGTGGTCAAATAGTACTCTCGGCCAACCTTATTTTCTATTAAATGAAGTTTAATTTTGAGGTAAGGTCCTGTTTAGTTCTCTTTGTTATGCATATAATGACATAAAACCCACTGCAGTAATTTAAAAACTTTTATCTGCTGCTTCTGTATATATATATATTAGTGTAAAATCTTCTTTAGAGAATGTGTGGAATATGTACAGCTGTGGCTGTGTTTGTGAGGCGAGAAATCAAGCTGAAAAATAAATGTGATTCATGAATATTGAGGTGCCAAGTAAATATTGCAATTAACAGGCTGGAGATGAACCTGACCATCACAGACAGGGACTGTTTTTAAACAGTTTCCAGGGAGACTGGGGAATATGACCATGTAATAAATGAGTTCCCTAAGCCTGAGGAAAAAGGGCTGTGCCTTTTATTGGTATGAGAACAAATAGCTGAGAAGATGACTGAACTGTTTCATCTTAGCACATGGAAGAGGTGGCAGAAAGAACAAGGGAAGATCATTGCCAGGACAATTTCCCAGCTCCATTACCATTTCCATAGTTTACTGCTCTCAGAAGAAAATGCCACAAAGCAGAGAAACTGGCTTGGGGCAAAGTGTTGATAAATCTGTCTCCATATTCTTAATCTGTTGGAGTTACTTTGACCTTGTCCACAATTACTGTTCTAAATGTGTCTCTGGCTTTGACTGCTCATCTGGAAATGGTGCTTGAAATCCTGAAAGGTCGCTAATGGAATTTTGTCCTGCTATTCTCCATGTTTGAAAAATGTCTTTGGTGAACTTTGCAAGCAGCCTATAATTAAAGCAGCATGTCAGTTTATATCAGATATGTCTAAGGACAAGGTTAAGTGAAGGTGTTTTAGGTACGGATTGAAACAGGCTTTGCTGAGAGCAATAACAGAATATCTGAGTTCCCCCTCAACCGTTTGAAGTCTGCCAAGCTGATTTAGAGCTTTTGGGGAAGACGTGCCCTTTGTGAGCACGCTGGATGGAGGAGGAGGTTTGACCTTAGATGAGCACGCAGTTGGCAGTGTGCTAGGCTGAGGATAATCTAATTGCCTGTGATGTTGGCACACACTGTTACACCCTGACACGGGTTCAGGGGGTTTGGGGTTTCTGTCTCTGTGCAAGGAGTAGCAGCTCTGCTGGGGCCCCATCCTGTTCTCCTCAGAGATCTGGGTTTTCCTCAAGCTTAAAGCTGTTCAGAAATTTTTATAAGGGTTGCACAAACTTGTAACTTCCATCTTTCCATACCCAGTAGTTGTGAGCTGTTTCCCTTGGGGGCGTGGAGTGCTGTCCAAGCTGGAGCAGAAGGAATGATGTGATGCTTACTTGGAATGTTCACTCTGATGTACCTGAGCTCTCCCACGGGTCTGTGTGGTCCTGTTTTGTGCCTGTGACAGAGATGTTGATTTGATGGGTGCAAGGTGTTCTTGCTCAGCCTTTCTGTTTTCATGGGTGTTGGTGATTCTGCAAAGCAAAAACTCTGTCAAGTAGGGAACTACATGATGCTGATGGGAGGGGGAAAAACTCCTTGATGTTGGTTACTCCTCTATTTCTTTTGTTACTTCTGTTTTTTAAACCTGATTTAGTCTGATTGCTGTGGGGGAACAGGAGAGCAACAGTTCAAGTTTTGAAAAACCCTTTGCATTCAGAGGTGTCTGAGTGATCTGCAGCAGAGGGCCCTGTGTTGTGGCTTCTGGCACCTGGCACTTTTTCAGGAATCCTGGGGGTAGTTCCAGTGGATATAACTGTGTAAGCAGATGGTGAAGAAAAGGGAGTTGTTGGTGGACTGGGTTCACCGTTTGATCCCAGGCAACTTTGCTCTTCATGGAACTCCCCACAAGCAGTGCTGACAACTGCAGAGAGCATCATGTGTAGTAGTTCACATGGTTCACTTGATGCCTTCTCAAGGTTGTCTTGGGCCAGTCATTTCCAGTCAATTGTCCATGTACATGTTTTGCTAAAAAGCTCATGCTGTTGGAGGCCTCTTCAATAACATTTTGTGCAGGAAAAAAAGCTGTGTTGGGCTGAGTCAGTACAGGATCACTGTTCTTGTCCAGTTGTTTCTGCAGGGAAAAATCCCTGTTCCATTTCCACGCTGGTAACACTCTGCAGAAGGGACACCAAAAATGTATCTTCAAGCCTGAAAAGCTTCTGTGGGAAGCACTTAGTGGGTTTTTTCCATGTTGACTCCAGGCCCATGACCATGTGTTCTATGGTTCCTATTAGGAATCCAACAGGGAATCATTCTGCTTGCAACAAATGCTGCTTGCAACAAAGTCCTGCTGCCAGCCTGGTTGGGGAGTCGAGATCAGAAAACACATTTGAAGCTATGTTGATTTATATCCCACTGTAAGCAAGTTGCAGTGCTTGTCATGGACCCAGATAAACCTTAGAAGAGTTCTCTGGTTTAAACAAATAAAGCATCTCCCCAAAACCCCACAACAAACCCCTTTTAAACAACCAAACCCACAAAGAAACCCACAGCAAACCCAAGTGTCTACTGTGTCTCAGGCACCATTTTAATGATGCTCATGGAGTCTGTGAACATCTTACCTGCTGTCCTCCTAAGGAACTCTCTGAACAGGGCTCATGTGTGCAGTGGAGACACTTCACTGGGAGAGGAACCTGGACAAAGGCTGTTGATTCGTTTCTGATTTTACAGAAACTCATGTTTAATGTTGTGCAGGAACACTGCAAAATAAGAGCAAAAACCTGGAAGGCTCTTCAGAGACACGTGTCATCAACTGCCACAGTGGAGGCTCTTACTGCTGAGGCTCCTGATTTCTCTGTTAAAACTCAGTCAAGCTCTTATCTTATCTAAAAGCTGCTCCAGCTCTGTTTGGAACAATGGCATTCCTCCTATAGGCCTTTGTAATTCATACTTCCTTTTGAAGATACATTCCAGCAAGTTAGTTTGCAAATATTCCTTTGGACTTAAAAAACCAGCTGTAGTTGAATAGCTAATAAGCTGACTGTCCTATAAACAGCTCTTAATTAGACCCAAATATTTTGGTCTCTTACATAATTCTGCTTGAGGGAACTTCCTTGCTGGGTTATTGGCAAAATAGATGCTGTTCCTGTACAATTATAATGGGTGAACTGGTATCTATTAATGCTTGCTAATGATTACAGCCTGCTTTCATAGTAGCCTTTCAAAGCTTGCCCTAGTTCATCTTTGTTTTGTTGTGGGATTTTTTTAAAAAGGAGTTTGTTTGTAAAATTCAGTGCTGCATGCCACAGATAAATGCTGTGAGTTTTTGCTGAGATCCTTGAGGGTTTTCAACATAAACTTGCTTATCAGCACGAGTGGTGTGTGTGGTTGAGCAGGGCTGTTCCTGGGGCAGGGGGCATGTTCTTGCATTTTAATTGTCTGTGCACACTTGCAAACAGAATAAACAATGTTCTGTGCTGTACAGTGTGAAGTTCCTTGTATTCTAATGATGAAAGGAAGGATTATACTTCTCTGTCTGCTTGCTTAAGCTTCAAGAGCTCTGATTTGCCACCTCAGACGGTCTGTGGTGTCTGAGGCTGTCAGGCTACTTCTGGGCCTGCCAAATTGATATCTTTGTGCTTATTGCCCATTTAGAACAGCAACTTTCACTCTATTGGTTTTTATCTTGCCTTCATCTTTGAGCTTATTGGAGGGGAATTGAGGTATTATTTTGTTCCCTCTCTGACCCCCAGAACAGTGCCCTGTGCTCCATCCTGAACTTACTGACAAGGCCCAACTTCCAGCCTGGTGTTCACAAGGGCGGTGTTTGTGCATCAGTGGGGTCCCTGCTGACCCTGCACAGTGCCCTGTCCTCAGTGGGATGGCACAGGCCAGGGCTGACCCTGCACAGTGCCCTGTTCTCAGTGGGATGGCACAGGCCAGGGCTGACCCTGCACAGTGCCCTGTTCTCAGTGGGATGGCACAGGCCAGGGCTGACCCTGCACAGTGCCCTGTTCTCAGTGGGATGGCACAGGCCAGGGCTGACTCTTCACAGTGTCTTGCCCACCGCGGAGCTGATGCTGAAGGCCTCGTTGGACATGTGGACGTGTTTCAGACACACAGCCTGGCTGTTTGGTCCCCATACAGTGTTCTGGAGGAGAGGCAGCCTGCTCTTCTAAGAAACCATATTAATAGCAGCCCTTAAGCACCTTTAAGAGCACTGTGGTATAAATGAGTTACCAGCTGGCAGGAGTGGAGCACTAAAGAGGGGCTTCCCTGCAGAGCAGCGGTGTCACCTCTTCTGCCATAAGATGCCAATCTAAGTGCCGTTGGGAGTTTGTAGGAATACATGTGCCATTACCCTCTGCAATCAGCTTGCCTGCCCTGTGGCTCCGTTATCCTTGATTTTGAAGGACGGCACTTTGATTTGTGTCCATAACAGTCCAGCTGGGTTTGTCCTTCAGAGTGCCTTTTGCTTCAGGAGGTCTTACCAGGCCCCAGTGCACTACACAAGTGGTTCATATGTGTCAGTAGAATCAGGTGTTCCACCTCCACGAGTGGCAATGCCCTGTTTGCTGGTGCCCAGTGCCAGCAGGGAGTTGGTGGGAGTACTGGGAAGAGTAGAGCCCCTCTGTTCCAGTGATTGTTGTTACACTGTTAGTCTAGATTAAAAATGCATGGCTTTGCCTGAACCGGCATGTACACATGTAGGCCTTGAGACTGTGACAGTCTCCTGACCTAGATTTGTGTTTGCTCAAGCCTGAATGAGCCAGTTAGGGAATATCTCCAGGGAGACAGAGCTCTCCTGAATCACAGCAGAGCTTTGCTGGAGCCACAGCGCTGGTGGTGAGCATGTTCCCTGAGCTGGGTGGGCGTGGGCCGGATTGGACAGTGGGAGCTGAGCCACAGGTGCCTCATTTTTGGGCTCTGTGTTCCTTCAAACACGCTGTTGACAAGGATGTGCAATGAAAGGCAAAGAAATGCTGAAATGAGAGTTTGAATTCTCTGTTCAGAATACACAGATAAAGTCTGTATGGATTGAGGGGGTCAGTTAGTGAGCACTGACCTCCCTCATCACTCATGCACCCACCTGCCCTAATTCCTGCCATTCCCACCCTCACAGCTGTGCTGGCTGAAAAGTAGATTTCCTGCTGACTGTGAGTTTATGTCGATGTCCCTCAGCAAGCCAAACTGTGTGGAAGGAGGAAGATGAGAGTAAATCCATGTAAAAACTGATCACTCGCTGGGGTAGCACAGGAATTACTCTCGGGTGGGTAGGAATTGCTGTTGGGACTGGCAAAGGGAGAGCACATCTGAAGAACTCGGTGTGTTCCTCAACTCTGGCAGTCCTGACAGGTGTTGGGTAGTTCTGGTTTGCTCCTCTTGAGGGACATCACAAGGAAAAAAGCCATTTTACATAAATTTTCAGTGGAAATTAAGGGTGAATGTGTTTCAGCATCAACTTTATTCCTGTTAATTTGGGGGCATTTCTCAAACAGATATATGTAAGCTTTTGTTTAATTTCTTAGTTTGTGACTTGCTTTCCTTAGTTACTTTTTGTTTTCTGACTTATTTTTGTACCAAACAATTACATTAATAGAAAGGCATTTTGCAGATTTATTTCCTTGCAGGGAAAATAGACTGTTCAGATCTATATATTCAGATCTAATACTTATTACTGTTCTATCAAAAAGCATTTTTTATATTTAATGTTCACACTGGTTCATTGTTTCACTGAAAATACCTATCAAGAGATGCTTAGTTCTGTAAACAACAGCCCTTAGAATTTCATAGAACTCTTTTTAATGAAGATAAATTGTAACAATAAATCATTCTTAGATTTTCCTTTTCAACCCTTACCTTGGGATTATATCTTATTATCTTACCTTATATCTTATTATCTTGGACATTACCTGGTGTGTTTGAGGTACTTGTGCTGCTTTGCTTTGTTGCCAGGTATCTCTCTGGGCACACAGGGACCTGTTCATTTTAACCCAAGCACTGTTGATGATTTATTTTGTCCAGATTTCCCACAACTGGGCACTGTGGTGGCTCAGCCCCAGGCTGTGACATCCACGCTGCCATCCATCCCTGCGGGCTCTGGCATCTCTCCCTTAGGATCTGGGGCTCTTTTATGAGCCTTGAGCTGCTGCTCTCTCTCCCAAACCTGTCAGATCCATCATTTGTCCCTGCAGTCTCCTGCCTTACAAGCACAGATCAGTCACAGGCTGATTTGGAAATGTCCTCCTTTGTTACTTGCAGACAATTAGACAGCACCAGGCAAACCCCTGCATGTGAAACGCTCTTCATTTGTAGGATCCTCCTGGCTTTGGGTCAGCTGGTGCAGAGGCTGACTGTGGGGAGCAGAAAGTGTCCGTTACTTGCCCAGAGAAATATTTCAGTGTAGTGTGAATCAATGTATGGAAGATGAAGGGAATGTGGAAGATATTTCCCCCCCTTGTTTTTCTCTGTGATCTCAGCCCTTTCTCTTGACCAAGTTCTTAGCTCTTTCGAGAAAAAGCAGCTGTCCTGGTCTGGCTGTCACCCAGGAGATGGAGATAGAGACTACCTGGCCCACTCCTTCCTGAAAGCCAAGTGGGGAGATCCAGAGCCAGAGGGGGATCTGGAGGAGGTGAACAAAAACCTTTCTCTTGAGTTTGACAACACAGTGGTGGAGGAAGCTGATAAGTCAGGAGCTCTTTTCATGAACTTTTTTTCAAATAAAGCATCCTCTGGTGTCTCTGAAACCAAGAGCACTGAGCTGAAGGATAGCAGACCACTGATGTATTGAGGTGCCTTTTTTAGGGAGTTGAATTTGACCCTGGAAAAAAAGAAGACAAGTCACTGGGAGTACACAGGAACAGGTTCCCAACTTGTAAAATTGCATTAAAGGTGTCAGGGATAAATTTGCATGTCTGTTTATGTAGGGCAGTGGAAAAAAGATTCTCTGGCAGAGTGGAAAAACTCGCTTGAAAACTTGCGTGAGTAAGGGAGAAATGTGGAACTAGCAAAAATAAAAATAGAAATGGAGCAGCTTACCTGTGGATGTTGTGGACTGCAGGTTGATGGAGCTTTTCACAATGGATTAAATGAGCATCTGGCAGGGACAGCCCAGGGATGCATCACTTTGCAATGCAAGGGACCAGGACCTTCCTTTTGAGGTTCCTTCTGACACACATTTTTTATGGTTTAGGTGGTGCACAAACAGCAAGTGAAACTATTAACAAGCTGAGAAACTTCTCAATGTACTTTTAAAAGAATTTGCTCCAAATGTTGAGAAATGGGGCCTCTGGTTGTTTTTAAACTCCCCAGTACAGAATGGTGTCCCATAGCTGACAGGAGTGCCCTGTGCTGCTGCAGGGCTGTGACCTGCTTGTCATTCCTGAAACGTGGTGGCAGGAATTCTGTGATTGGGGTGAGGTGACCAGGGGCTGCTCAGGAGGGGCAGGGGAGGAGAGGTGGAGGCATTTCCCTCTCCTTGAAGGATTAATTGCAAAGAGCTGTCTCTGTAGAATGAGCAGGTCAAAAGCCTGTGGATGAGGATCAGAGTCCAAGGGAACCTCGAGGTCGGCGTTTACCAAGGGGAGCCTGCTGATGAAGTTGTTGCTCCAGCTCCAGGAGGCATTCCAGACTCTCATCCTGCTGGGGGACTGCAGCCACCCCCCCAGCTGCTGCAAGGGTGACACAGAGAGCTGTGGGCAATCCAGGACACTCTGGAGTGTGTTCAGGATAACCCAGACCAGCTGACAGCCCTACCCGAGGGGAGGCAGTGCTGATGGTCACCAACCTGAGCTGAGTGGGGATGCCAAAACTGGACAGTGTGGACTGCAGTGACCATGCACTGCTGCACTGGGCAGCTGGCAGGGACAGGGGGCAGGGAACAGCAAACTCAGGGCCCTGGACTTGAGGAAAGCAAGATCCCAGCTCTTCAAGACAGTCATTTTTAAAAACACGTACAAAAATTTATGCAGAAATTATTGGGGGATTCCAGTAGATCATGGAGGAAGGACTTATGTTCTGAAGGGTTCTTGGAGCTCATTGTGGAAAGTGTAATTGTTGAAGAGTGGTTTGGACTGTCAGGACAGCAAGGGAAGACACTTGAGACAAAACCCAGACTATCTACAAAATGAAACAATACAAAAAGCATCTGTAGCTTCCTGTTTCGGTAGAAAAATGCTGTCAAATGTGGTGTAGTTTCTGAAACAGAACTGGAATGAAAAATAGCTCGTTCTTGAAGCTCTGTGTAGCTGCACAACAGGCTGAAAACATCCAGCAGATCTAGGTGGAGACCTGAGAAAAACCACAACACTGTGTGAACCCTTTGGGATTTCAGAAAGGAGAAGTTACGTACTAGGAAAATCCTACTTTTGATGAAGTAGTTCTTTTAAGCTGTTAGTCACCAGCTAATTGAATGGTCTGGTAAAAAGGTGTGATGAGAGACTAAGAATTTTCTGTCAGCAGTAAACACGTTGGCAATATACCAAATATTGTTCTCCTGTGCACCATTTTGATATCAGACATCTGACCTACATCAGACAAAGTACCCATGTGTAAGTTGGTGCACACGAATTTTTGGAAGATGAATATTCAGCACAACCACAAAAATGCATTTTTTGGAGAGTTTCTAATCCATGGCACTCGTGAGACTTTACACAGAACTTCATTTGAATGAACACAACTCTGCCGAACTAATTTGATTTGCTAATGAAACATTGAATATATTAAAGCACTGAATGGAAAACTCAAAGCAACGATTCCTCTGCTGCTTTTTCAGGTGCTGCAGTAGGAACCTGCGGGTGCCTGGGCACCATGGTGGCCCTGTCCCTGAAGATCTGTGTGCGCCAGTGCAATGTGGTGAAGACCATGCAGTTCGAGCCCTCCACGGCCGTCTACGACGCCTGCAGAGTCATCCGGGAGCGAGTGCCCGAGGCTCAGACAGGCCAAGGTGAGCTCTGCATTTGGCCTTCATCACCCCCCTGGCTCATTTCCAAATGAACATGGACCCACGGGGCTTTTCACACTGTCCTGTTCCTCCAGGTGTCTGGTGGGTTTGGTAGAAACAGAATTTTAAGTGACAGAAAGTAGCCGAGTTCTTTTTCTTCCTTCTGTCCCCAATAGTTTTCCCACAAAAGATGTTTGGGTTTTTTTTTGTGTGGAACTTTGTCTTCTTAAATAAATATCTTGTGTGGCTGGAAGGTGATTTTTCCCTGCTTGGAGAGCAGGTTTTTTGGTACCATCTTTTTAAAGCAGTGTTTGTGGCAATGCTTTGTAAGGAAACCTGGGCAGACTTTCTTTTGTGCCTCAGCACAGGGAAGTGACAGCGTCAATCACAAAAGAAGGGCTGGATATCTCCAAGCTGTGCAAAGAGAAAGGTTTGAGAATGGTTAATAAGTAAAAACCTCACCATATTGTGCATGCCACAGTGCTGCCACGTGGTAATCTGATGGAACTGTCTCTACCTATTGAGCAAATTACATAAATACAGACTATGGGTGAAAAGCTTGATTTAAATGTAGTCAAAGTTGTGAAAAAATTCAGGTTCTTCAGAACCCTTCAGTGCTGCACTGTATCTATTGCCACTGGAATGTAACTCTTAAAGCAGGTTGTTTATTGAGCTTTATGCACTGCTCTCAACCTCCACAGCTGTTCCCAAAATCTTGTCTGAATTGTTAGAAGAACTTATCAGTAGTGGACAATATTACCGTTACTTAGAGTTGCTTCTCCTTTGCAGGAGTCCTTGGGAAGTCCAGTTACAGAGCTGCAGTTTTCAGATTAAATCTGTGCATTTTCACCCTGCTGATCCCTCCAGGCAGTGATTGTCAACAGCTGTACAATTCAGAGGAGCTGAGTAACAAATATCCCTGAGCATCATGCACCTCAAAGCAGAGCCTGGGAGCTCTCCTCAGATTTTACAGCAGGGCTTCTCCTTTATGTGTGCTTGCACTGCAGCTGCAAACTTCAAACAGCTTTCTGGAGCTGAGTGGTGAACAGGAGTGTTTCTAACACACCCCTTCCCCTCCTTGGGGGCTGCTGAAATGGGTGCAGTGCAGCTGATCAAAGCAGGTCCTGCCCAGCAGTAATTGTGTTTGTCCTGCACTGTGGCTGTCCCTGTGCCCAGTTCCCTCCTCCAGCACACCCTTCTGCCAGTGATACTAAGGTGCAAGTTGCCAACAGCTCTTGCTGTCTCCTCCCTTGGGTGCATCCCCAGCAATGACAATCAGAGCAGTTTGTGCTCTGTGCCAGGCCCTGTGTGTGCTCCCAGAGCTCACAACCTGTTCATAGGCACAAATGCTGAAATTTTACATCAGTGAGTCTGTATTGAACTTGGATCATAAACATCAGCTCTGTATGTGCAGGTCACTTGACTTCCCAGGGGAGTTTTTAGTCAAGGTCAGCAGGGAAAGTTTTTCTTCTCACTCAGTTGTTTTTGGAAGGAGTCTTCCTCTGAAATGGGGTATCTGTAAGTCAGGTACACTTTTATTAAGTAAGGTCTGTCATGCAATTGCTTAAGTATTGTGTTTAAGGTAATTCTGTTAAATGTAAGTTGTTGCCATGCCTGGCGTTTCAGGATGAAACATCTCAAACTGTAGATATTTTTACCTGACTTTCTGATCAGAGAGTCCCAACATGTGGCTGAAGGTAAACAAGGTGGGGTTGGGTGCAGAGCTGCTGGTCATTGGGAGCATTGCAAATATTAAAAAATGAATAGAAAAGTGAGCACTAATTTGTTGTTTGTGATTGTGGAGTATAATCTGTATCAATTCTTCGTGCATATGGATAGGCTTTAAGTTGACAGTCATGATCCTTCATTGCATATATCTGAAGTTTAGTGTTTGAAGCCCAAGCCTGGCTTTGTTTCTCTATGTCAGTGAAAGTTTTATCATCTACTCGTGATTCTGAGTGAGCCAATTGACAAGTGTTCAGCCTGCAATGGATGCAAGTTTTTCTTGAGTTTGTTATGGATATAATTCTAGAAGCCCTGCTGGTTTTTTTGGGGTTTTTTTTGAACCTAAACCTGAGTCATCTACCAAAAAAGACTCCCAAGTTTATAACAAGCTCATTATGTGGAAGGTTGAAAGCAAACTGTGTTTTGAAAATAGAAAAGCTGCTGGAAATAGTACAGTATGGTTAAGACCAAACTGCTGGTATTTTTGGGCAGTCAGTTCTAAAGCAGGACCTGTGAGCACTCAGAGAAGGTTGTCTCAAAGGGAAGTATTTACCAGTGCCATACACAACAGTAGGTGTGACACGTTCTTGCTCAGGTCTTGTGTAAAGCCTGCTCTGCCCTCCCATCTGCTGCCACACTCAGTGCTTTGGGAAGCACAGGAACAGATTGCTGTCCAGGTTCATTCAGAACACAAGGTAAGTGTAATGGAGGCTGAACAGCCTTGAATTAAACCATGCTGGCTTTATTAGTCTGCTGTTCCTCAGCGGTCTCTGTCTCCTCTGTTCACAGCCTCTGACTATGGATTGTTCTTGTCAGACGACGACCCTCGAAAAGGTATATGGCTGGAGGCTGGAAGAACACTGGATTATTACATGCTGAGGAATGGGGTATGGTGCAAGGCTGTGGCCTCTTTCATCACCATGTTCTTAGAAAACTTCTTTCCTAAGTAGCAACGAGAATGTTTAGCGTTTGGAGGGGTAGGAGGGTCCTGAGTCTGTTCCTGAAAGTGGCCCCCTCCTCTTCCTTGCTGGGCCTCAGAGGTTGGGTTCTTTCCTGCATCAGGTTGTGACTGAGCTCCTGTGGTCAGCAGTGTCTTCAGACAATGATTAACAGGGAGTTGAAAAATAACCTTTGTAAGAAGCTTTCTGTGTGAGGTGACCTCGTGTCAGAGAGCTGGGTTTTGTGTACTGAGATGCTGAGGTCACACCTGCCCAGTTCTGGCCAGCTGGATTCCAGCCCAAAGGCACTGCAGTGTTTAATGCTGAACCAGGGGCTGTCCTGCCCTCGCTGAGTTTTGGTCTTGCCAGCTGGGACGAGTTCTTGCCGAGTGACTTTGGCAGAACTAAAAGGAATCACTTCTCAAGCTTGTTCAGTGAGCAGGTTTGCCTTAACAAATGCTGTGACAAAGGGAAAATGCAGCTGGGAGGGTGGGAAGGGGATCCTGGGTTGGCTTGTGGTGGCTTCCAATAGCATTTAGAAACAGTTGTGTTTACTTCCTAGGATATATTAGAGTACAAAAAGAAACAGAGACCTCAGAAAATACGGATGTTGGATGGCTCGGTGAAAACAGTCATGGTGGATGATTCTAAAACAGTTGGGGAGCTGCTGGTTACCATTTGCAGCAGGATAGGTAAGATTTTGGGACCCTCAGGCTTAAGAATTTGTTTTCTGCCATATTTTGATGGGTAGGATGTTGTGTGTATTGCTGGCTGGAAATTGGCACACATGTTATAAATTTAAATTCGTTGTAAGTTGCTATTTAGCAAACACATTTTTTAAATCTGTTGCCCAGGTTTTATCAAAACCCACAGAGGGTTAGATGTGTCCTGAAACTTCAGTGCTGAGCAGCTGAAGGCACAAAGTGACCACAAACTGGCAGTGCAGTTGCCAATTTATCATATATTACATTCACATATGCTCTCCTGCTATGTAGTAGAGAATTAGGACTAAATTTATACTCAGTTTTAATTGGATAAAAGGTTCATATTGCTCATCTTGAAATGTACCTAAACTTAGGGCTCTGGGTTGTTTTGAGAGTTGATCACAGAACCATATAATTTCTGAAACAACATACAGAAGACATCCTGAGCAACTGGTCAGAATTCAAATAATTTATAGTCTGTGTCAGTATTTACCTAACCAGAGACGTGTTTGAAAACCAGTTCATATTTAACTCTAATAATGCATCCAACATGGATTCATTTAAATCTTAAACCCTGCCTTAGAATGCATTTAGAATTCAAGTGGCCTTACTTTGATTTAGATTGCTTTGTTTGCAAAGTGACTCATCTATTTCAATTTTGAGTGTTTCTGTGTTGGATTCTCCCGTGCTGTAAGTAACTTAGCTCAGAAATTAGCCTGCCTTATTTTCATGCACGTGGTCACGGGGGTCAGTGTTTAATTTGCTGTCTGGTGTAACATGAAGGTGCTTTCCCAAACAGCAGAACAAAGACATGAGAGCAGCTTGGCACAGGAGCTGAACGTTGGGAACTGATTCGTGATTCAGTTCTGTGTCAAATTCACAGGAGGAGTTGAGTTTTAACACTTTAAAAAATATAAATCATACCTTTCACGTGGTTTCTGGTCCTCAGTTGACTTTGCCACATCTCCTTTGCAAGGAAAGCAAGAGAGCAGGCTGGGATTGCTCAGTCCCCAGGGAGCAGTTGGAGGCACCTAGCAATGGCAATTTATTATTACGGCTCTCCATTTTGCAATTTACTGCAATTTGAAATTCCAGCATGTTTTTAAACTGGCAGCTTCTCTTGGTAGACAAAACAACAACAACAAAACCCTCCTAAATCCCTTTCTGGAAGTGCTAAATGCAGAATGTGGCAAAGGAATGATGTATGGGAAGGACAAGGCCAGGTATTGGCAGAGGTTATAGAGGATTCTACTCATTGCCCATTCACAGTTTTGGCCTTTCATCTGTTCCCCTTTGTATTTGGGATTAACCATTGGTGCTTTAATATCTCTAAAAAAAAAAGTATTTAATCCATCCTAAAATATATTCAGTTGTTATTGTTACAAGCACTGGATTTATTTATAATTCCAGGGATAACAAATTATGAGGAATATTCCTTAATCCAGGAAAGCATCGAAGAGAAGAAAGAGGAGAGTACAGGGACACTAAAGAAAGACAGGACACTGCTACGGGATGAGAGGAAAATGGAAAAACTGAAGGCAAAGCTCCACACAGATGATGACTGTGAGTAACGTGTTCCAGCATCCTTCTTTGTTAGTATCAAGCAAGAAAACGAGACATTTTAAATTATTCAGTGTGTCTCAGTTGATTCCAAGCTGCATTTTGCATCCTTTTACATGGAGTGTTGTCTGTGACTGAGTAATTTTAGAATTGGGTAAATGGGTGAGTTAGTGCCTCTGTGAGCGTTAGTGGGTGTTTTGAAGGGATTTTTGTTACTTTTGTGGTAGGGGTTTTCCAACTTCAGTCTGAAAGGGTCATTTTTGTCCCTTCATTAAATTTGGATATTTAAATATTGGTGCCTTCTGAAAGCCATCAAAAGGTAGTTTTGTCTTTGAAGGTACAAATTTTAACTGTGAAGGGAGTTTGCCAAAGAACTAAGACAGTATTAGATTTGTTTGAAGTCACGAGAACCAGTTTTTTTTTTGTTCTACCTTAAGACCCAAAGATGAACTGTACCTGCAGGAAGATGGTTTCAAATTGTGCCCCGCAGTGGCAGTGCCAGATGTGTGTGTTGAGTAGGGGGGATGCTCTGTTGCAGTGAACTGGCTGGATCACAGCAGGACCTTCAGAGAGCAGGGCGTCGATGAAAACGAGACGCTGCTGTTGAGAAGGAAGTTCTTTTATTCAGACCAGAACGTGGATTCGAGAGACCCAGTTCAGCTTAATCTGCTCTATGTTCAGGTATGGCACCTGCTGCCTTCTCTGAGGAAACCTGGGGAGGTTCATTAGGAGAAGTTGGTTGCTGAAATACTCTCATCTTCTAGAATTCCATTTCTGGATGTGCTTTGATTTTACTTTTTTGTCTACCTCTCTGAAAACATGATAGTACAGAGGCTTTACTGATTCCTTTTAATTGGGTACTTCCAACCCATTAATGGACACTCAGCCAAAAATCCACTGGCTTTCTGTCCTGTTCCCTTAAAATTCATGCATGTCTTTAGTCTCAAATGTCTCTTTCTAGTTCTTCTCCCCACTCTCTTCTGCTCTGTCTGTGTGATGTCAGTCTTGCAAACAGCTTTTTGTTTCTCATCTCTTCTCTCTTCTACCTGGTCAGACAGAGACTTTATCCCTTCCCACTTTCCCCCAGGCAGCACACAGGGCAGGAGGCTCCCTGTCACATGGACCTTGTCATGCGGCCACCCAGGCAGGTCCCTGAGCTGTCACAGGGGCTGGACATACCCCTGTAGATACCTCAGCAAAGGCAACAGCTTCATGCAGAAGATGTTATTCAACTGCAGGTGCCATTGTGGTTGCCTGGAATGCAGTCTGAACAAAAAGCAGGCTTTAAAACTCTTTATTAAGTTTGGTTGTGTTTGTTTTTTTTTAAGTAAAAAAATATAATTGAAAGTTTAATGGAATGCTCTGATGTTCCACTTGGAGCTGCTCTAAATTACGTTTTAAAACTCTGAGGCAGAAGGTAAAGCTGGCCATGCTGGTAAAAGAGCAGTGCATTTTCCAAGGATTTTAGAAGACTGTCACACGGAGCTGTTCTCCTGCCACTTGGATATTTATATTTCTTTCAGGCTACTGTTGTGACACACTGTGTTGGTACTGCCTTGTCTTTGTTTTGTCTATGGATAGGTGAGCCTTTTATTGCCAGAACTGTAACATCTGTCATCTCGTATGACCACCGAATTCACACAAAAGGAGGAAAAAAGCTGTGTGCCTTCTGCTGTTGCCACATCTATAACAGTAATTTGGTTTTTATGTCCCAGTTATGGAGATGATTTTCCCTCCTATTACGAGGCAGTGTGATCCAGGCTTCTCAATGCATGTGTGTACACACACGTGTACCTGCACATGTGTGGACATCCACAGGAGGGAATGTGCACTGTTGTGTTTTATTTGCATGTCAGGAAAATGGGTGCCAAGTTCCCTTTTTGATCAAAGTTATTACAATCACAGTTTGAACAAGTTTCCAGAGACGTTCACCCTGAAATAACTTAGCCCTTGGTGTATTTATATTAGTCATAAACACATCCAGAGTGGAAGAATAAAGACATTCAGACAGCAAAGTGTGTTTGTGTTGCTGGCTGTGTTGAGGCTCTCCAGGAGTTTCAGAGGTGGAACAGTCCCTTTGGATGTCCCTGACTTGTCTTTGTTGTCTCCTCTAGGCTCGTGATGACATCCTGAATGGTTCCCACCCTGTCTCCTTTGAGAAGGCCTGTGAGTTTGGAGGCTTCCAAGCACAGATCCAGTTTGGACCTCATGTAGAACACAAACACAAACCTGGATTTTTAGAGTAAACACTTCTAACTTCTAAATTGGGGTGACCTCAAGTGTAACTAATGTTGAGTTGTCACAGAGTAAACAAGTTTTATTGCTCCAAGCAGAGGTAATCAGATTCAGAGTGTTTTCTGTAGCAAACCTCCCTGTGAATCAGCTGCTGAGGGGACCTTTGGCAGTGGCTTTGTTAGACAGCACAGGGTGCCAGGGAAGTGCACAGCTGGAATCTGCAGCTGCCTGGGAATCTGGGAGAGCTGAGGGTTTGATCTGCCTTAGTTTGCTGCTGCCTGCCTTTAGTAATGCCCTGTGTGAACTGAGTGTCCATCAGTGCATGTCGCTGGTTGATCTGCTGCAAAAGCACAGGAATAGCAAGATGCCTGGTCATTTGAACAAAGTGAACGTTGCTGCGTTCAGAGGTTACATTTTCCAAACTGTTTAGTGGCATCAGGGATTCAGATTCACCCTCTCTTGGTGTTGCATGAATGGAAATGGGGAACTGTGCTCCTTGTTTCAGATACAGACTGAAATCCTGTTTACAGGTGGTCCGTCTTTTAGTCTTTGTGATACTTCACTGCTCTCAGCAGGGCAAGTTTAGTTTGACTGACATTTAGATGTCCCATTTTTCTACTGATTTGGATTTTCTGACTGGTTTACCTGCAGTAGAATTAACTGAGGGCCGAAGTCTGAGCAAAGCAATATTGTAGGAAGGTTAAAGAAAGCTATTTACTGCACAGTCCATCAAGCCTTGCCCACAGAGGAGGCTCTTCAATACCTTAATTGGAAGCACAAAGCAGTGGGTGTGTGTTTGGTTCCACTGGCAGTGCTCTCTGCTGACTCAGGCTGCCTTGGGGAGCTGGACTGGGCTTTGCTGCACCTCAGGGAGCCACTTCCAAGTGGTGAATGCTTTGGAGCATGCAGAGCCGGGATGATGGTTGTTTGAAACTCTTCACTTCTGGAAAATAGTCTTGAAGTATCAGTTCAGTTCTGTGAACAGACACTTTTCAGTTCCAATTAACAATCAGCTCTTCTTTGTACTGTTTGTCTGCTACTGACTGGCCCAGGAACCTTTCCTGCTGGAGCCACTGATGTCTCTTAAGAATTGTGGGGGCCCAGTGTAAAACCTTCCCTGATTTCCTGGGGTTTGTTTCCCAGAACTGGAAGCAGTTACACAACTTTCTCTGGGATTGATCCATTGTCCCTCCGCTCACTGGAGTCTTCCTGCAGCAAACCACTAGGATATTATCTCAGGAGGAGCTGATGCTGTGGCATGGAAATGATTTCAAGAGTTAGGTGTTCCCAGCAATAACTGCTCTTAATTTGGAAAGCAGCCATGGCAAACTGCTGTACAGCATTCAGCTGCTTCAGTCTTTCTGGGGTTTTCTCTGTTCTGCTTGGTCCTTTCAGTGTGAAGATTTTTTTTTTTTTTTTTCTCTTTAAGTTCCCACCTAGTAACTGTTTTATGGTGGACTGAAACTGCTGGCTGGATGATGTTTCTGCTTTGCATGCAGTGCTGAAGAGTTTGAAGTCCATCACAGGGTGAAGTCATCGCACATGTAGTGTTCATTGTCTTTTTTATCCCCACAGAAATGAAAAGTGTCAATGACTGAACTGTATTCTAGAAAGAGAGTGTTTCTCCTATGGAAATCATTTTGAACCAGAATTCTAAACTTCAGAACCTTGTTATGTTCTACAGGGCATTTTCCCCTCTGCTGTTGTTCTGTTTTCATTTAGGGCCTTGACTGTGTTAGACCCAAACTTTGCAGGTCACCAAGTGTAACTGCTCACTGTCCTGGTGTGTAATCAGCTTCATAAAATTAAGGATTCTGGTTTAGAAGTAATTCAGATTTTGTCCTCTAGAGGAAACTGTTGCAGAGCTGTAAGTCCCCATTCATTGTCTTCTAATTTGCGGTGTCCATGTTTATGATTCAGTGTTTGTGCATTTGGCTTTGGTAACCTTCATGGCAGCCTTTTTGAGAGATCTCACATTTTTATTTTGTGACTCAAAGCAAGCCAGTTGATCCTGGCTCATTATGAACAATATATATAAATAGTATAGAGAAATGCTGATCTATTCTTTTTTTCCTGAAAATACATCTCTCATACTTTCAGAAAAAACCTTTTCAATTTGTTTTGGTTTTTTTTTTCCTTTTGAAAAAGAATGAGCTTTTT